TATATATATATATATATATATATATATATATATATATATATATATATATATATATATGGGGGTTTAATCATATGGGAATTATAAAATTTGTGAGATCCATAAAACTTCTATCTTAAGGTTGCTTCACATGATATATTTAATGCATTGATTAACATATATTTGTTTCATATGTATTCGGTCCACAATCTGAAACTTTTTACGTGTATTTTTGTTCTACAAACACGTTAAAAATGTTTATATTATAAACCGAGAACATATGAAACAATCACATTGTAAAACAAATATATATTAATGAGTGAAGTAATATAGTCAAAAAAAAAAATCATATAAAATAACACATAATATATCGGGTCTTCAAAAATCTCACAGCTTCAAAAGTTTTCAAAAAAAGTCCTCCATATATTATATACACATACGACAACTGATTTATTCAACAACCACTTTTACATTTAATTTAATAGGGAATAATGTATCAAAAACTCTTAAAAACCATTTTTTATGCATTATGTACTGTTTATTGATGCATATTACTTAAAATTCAAGATTACGAATAATTGTGCATAAGTACAATTTATTAAAGCTCCATGTTTGAATTCATGTAACCAATTACAGGTAAACATAATCAAATATACGATAAACATCTCATTTTAAATATAAAAAATCTAAAATATAATTATGATAATAATTGAGTTGTAACAAAATACTTAATTATTATTTTTATAAAAAAATTATATTATTAAACCAAAAATAATCTATACTATATTATAAAACATTTGACAAAAACTCTTAAAAAATTATTTTTTATGCATTAAGTACTGTTTATTGATGCATGTTACTTAAAATTTAAGATTACAAGTAAATTATGTATAATTACAATTTATTAAAGCTCCATATTTGAACTAATATAACTAACTACAAATAAATATAATCAAATAGAGGATAAACATTTTATTTTAAATATAAAAAATCTAAAATATAATTAAGATAATTATTGAGTTCTAACAAAATACTTGATTACTATCTTCATAAAAAATTATATTATTAAGCCAAAAATAAAAAAAAATGAATTAAGGAAATTCCACAAAAAAAAAAGAAAATTTTTAAATTGTTAGTCTGGTACTAGTATCAATATATATATTTTAAATTTTTATGATATTTTCATATTTATATTTTACACGAAAATAAAAACATCTTCGTTTTTCCTAAAAACCACAAAAAACCATATTATAACATCGTCTGAGATAAAAAAAAAAAAAAACAGAACATTAAAATCGAAATGTATCTCGATATATTGTACGAGTACCCTTCTAATAATAATAATAATAATACAGCTAAAAAGACATTAGGATAAATAATTCTTGTAAGTTACGTGGAAATTGCATTTTCCTTTATTATTGTTGTCAACGTACAAAACGTTTATTTTTAACAAGTACAAATGACATTTAAATGTAATAATATAATAAGACTCAAAATGTCATCTATAACACCCTATTCTTCATACAATTAATATCAAAATAATATAATAAATATAAATATTTTTTAGAGATAAAATAACAAATTAATGAACCATTTATCAAATGTTTATCGAGTAAACGTTTGCCGACAATAGTCATCGGTTTTACTTACCTTGTCGTGTAACATTTTCTACCGTAAAAATGGATTATTAGCAAACATCTTTTATTCAGTAAGCACTTACCGGGGGAATGTCTTCTCCCTCACTTGTTGGGTAGAATTATTGGTCCTTGCTATGCCTCTTATTGAATAAGATTATTGGTCACTGTCATGATATTCGTTAAGGTAAATGACACTCATTAAATGCTTACTCGGTAAAATTTTGGTAAACAATCCATAAGTTTTTTTATGAAGTTGTATATTTTAATTACAATAAATTATACTACATTATTGTTTTGTACACGATATTTAATAGATGTTGTATTTTTCTAATTATTTTTTTATATGACTTTTTTTTTAATTAACCTGGATATTTCACCCGTTAAAATGTCGTTTTTACTAATATATACTTTTTAAAAATAAATCACTTAATATGAAAGATTTGGGCAATTTTGTAATTTTAATAATTTTTATAAAAGGTTTTAATTTATTTTCTTTCGGTCACTTTCCTCTCACGTTTGGGAGGAAAGTTTTAAAAGGAAACTAATCTTTATTTTCCCTGATTTCCTTTCTCTCTTAAAAGAGTTTCAAGAACACGAGTTCTTTATTTTCCCGGACTTCCTTTAATTCCTTCGTAAAAAAAGTTTCAAGAACACCGCATTAGCGTTGCACCAGGCAACACTTCTTACCAGATCAACACTTACCTAATTCGTGTTAGTAAACGACCCTTTAAAGTGGAACACTAAAATGTTCACATAAAGCTATTTCTATAACAATGAAAAACGGATTACCAACAGAAATTTGTAACCGCCAATCGAATAAGAGTGTGGTTTGGGTAAGAGGTTGAATCTAGGTAAACACCGACTGAAAACTGATATTTATCAAATGTTGGCAAGTACGTCTAGATAAATGCTCATTGAAGCACCGTAAGTCAGACAACAACCCCTTCCTTACCGGGCCAACATCTCTTATGGGCTACGGTGTGTTGGTAAACTACATCCATTCTTAACGGGTCAACTTCACCCGATAAAAGGCGGTCATCCCTTTAGTAAAAGGCGACCACCTTCGAGGAGATGAAAGAATATTACATTACATCGAGGCAAAATGCAAGTTTTCAGTATACGTAATACAACAAGAACAGCACATAACACACCTATCGATTTTTAAAAATTGTCGATGCAGAAAGAAAATAATAGGTTCAAATCTAGTATATATATGCAGTCTACTTGCTTACAGTTGGTGTCTTGATATTATCTGATTTTCTTGCAAGAAGCCGGGAGAACCATTTCGTCCTCTCTCATCCGCTTCATATTTATGCTCAGAAAACTGCACGGAAGTCGTGTTTTGGAAAGGGTTTCGGAGCAGGTGTATTGTGAACCTGAAAGTTACAATCAACAGCGGCCTCGTAAAGATATACAAAATCCAAACGTTTTCTTAAAAACTAATGTAGGAGGAACTGGTTTATTTAGCTAAATGACCTTCCGACAAGTGATTTTTAAATCCAATCACCTTCTAACAAGTTTCTAATTCACTCGTCAATTAAAAAGTGACATTCTCAAACCTGTCAAAAGGTCATGGATTTAGAGAAAAACCTGACTGAAGGTCATTTAACCAAAGAGGAATGACAATGTTCTTGGTTTATTCAGCTAAATGACCTCCTAACAAGTGCTTTTTCAAATCCATGACCTTCTGACAGGTTTCTAATTCCTACATTCTTCAGTTAAATAGTGACATTCTCAAACCTGTCTGAATGCCATTTAACTCTCTAGGAACTTACTTCAGCACCCAGCAGCATACCTGATTCATCCACTTTCAACCTCTTTAAAGAAGAACTGGCATCTTCTTGCTTTCTTTTCAAAGCATTAGTTATAAAGTGTTTACGACTTCCGTTATCGACATCTATAAGGATAACCATTTAGCCTTAGTTTAACTTTAACCCCTCTTAAGATTTAAACAAAAAAGACGAAGGAATGAATTGAAGGCGTTACCCGGATCTTTGAACTTTGTTTTTTTGATCGAGTTTGAGTCCTCAAGCGGTGGTCTCCTATTGATGTTGTCGTATCCCCTATCGCTCATGCTCGGAGTCCCATCTACCGAATCATGTGTTCCTGAAGAGTCACAAAATATTTGAAATAGCGGTAATAGCGGTGGTATAGTGGTCCAAAAATAATGGTTCATATAATATTTTTTTAGAATTATATATATATAATATATATATATATATATATACATGTATGTATGCATACATAAACATATCATATGCACTAATTTTAAAAATATAGTTTCAACATCAAAACATCAACTTAAACTAGTTTCACAAAACAAAATAGGAAAAGTGCTCATAAACGAGCTAATCACAAGCAATAGGTTCAACATCTGGGTCAACATAAATCTAAAGAGGCCCAAGCTAAAATATCGGAATAACAGTCCGCAATTTCACCTTAAATATCGCTCATATATCGGTCAATTGCGTCGCCAATATCGGAAACGCAATTTTCACCGCAATTTGACCACGGCAATTTTACCTTAGTCCGCAATAGGCTATTGCACTATTGCACCACTATTGCACCACTATTGCAGGCAATAGCGCCGCAATTAACAGCATAACTCCAATATGAGACATTATATGGCATCTTGATAATCATTTGAAAGTAGTACTCTGAGTGTGCGCTTGGTACGCAGACAGCACCGGACAGGACCGAACGAGTGAGGTAGAGAGGTGAAAGAGTTATGGAAGATTATATAGTTTTAATTTAACATTTGGTAGTTAATAATTTACCAACCTTGTTCCATATTTCTAATTTTTGTTCTACCTATTTTTGGTGGACAAAAAAAGATGCATTTTTGTCCCGCTCAGTACTCTCTGTCCTATCCAATCCAGTGTCGAGCCAAACATGGGATGATGAGTTTTTGTTCTGTTACAATCACGTCCCGGTATGTATTTTAAGTATGATTGTATGAATTTTGATTTTCGAAGATTTCCCGGCTTGAAAGAAATGTGGCACCCATTATAAACAACCAAATGTATACCGAGAGAGTATTTAGCGATATCACATCTCTTTCTCTTTGTTTATTATATATGTGATTGCCTTTGGCGTCATAAATGCTATGTATACTCGAGATTTCTTTGAACAGTTCGAGGGTGTTCTAACATGAGATATGAAACAGTATTTAGTCCTTACCCAATTATATATATTTTTAACGTTTAACCCAATTATAAATGTTCTAGTCCAATTATAATGTTTAAAGTTTTAACTCTTTTAGCCGATTTAGTAATTCCGTCCCCGCAAAAATTGTTTAAAGAATGATTTTGTTTACGTGAATTTCATATGTTAAAATAATGATCCATAGTTCAATACTACAAATTATGGTGATATAATGCAACACAATCCATGTTCACTTCTAATTCAAATACTATGAGTTTGATCTCAATAGTCAGAGTTAATCATTGACAACATGAAGTTACTGAAACCAATTAACACGCAAAACGCCTTATATGATTATGCACAAGCATAGAGTCGGGTTTGAACTTGATCAATAACCAAATAAGAGAACATAAGAATGGCCAAATCAACCAAAGGGCATTTGGTCTAACGGTATCGTAGTCTTTGGCCTCCTACGAGGTCAGGGGTTTAAACCTCACTAAAGATGAGGAGGGTGTGTGAGTTTATTTGTTGCATTTTCCGTATATAAATATTACATACTTCAAAAAGAACGGTCAAATAAATATGATAATACACATTAAACTCACTTGTAAAATTGCATATGATTACGAGCAACTTGGGCCAAGGCGCGCGTAATCGCCTGTGATTTAGGTGAGTCACATGTGATTTGGGCACCCTTGTGTTCTCTTATTTTGACCATGCTCTAGTTTGATCCTCACACACACACACGCACATGCATATATATATATATATATATATATATATATATATTAGGGATGAGATAGGGAGAGAATCCTGGAAAAAAAACCATCCAAACGGAGATGATACAACAAATGTGATTAAAAAGGCAGTTATAACCACCTTTTCTTCAAAAGACATGTTTCCTCTTCATTTTTAAATCGAAAATCACCGCAATGGAAAAAAATTACACCAAAGAAATGATCATTTTATTATCTTTAATTTGACATCCACTTTAATATATATTTTTCATCTGTTTTTTCATGGTCTCCCTGTTCTTAAAAAATTTCTTTCTAGGTCTTTTTCATATATACAGGGCTTAACAATATGAGACAACTAACCACAATGGTGGTGTCTGATTGGTTTGAGCTTGGCTCCAAAGGTCAAAAGTACCAAGAGGTCTCAGGTTCAAATCCAAGGAGGAATAAAAATCCCCTTGTGGCTACGGTGGTTTAAATGCGGTGACTCCGGACTATCTGTAAAGCAGGTGGTCGTGCTGGGATTAGTTGGCTTGCATAGCTGGTTGGATATTCAGGTTAAAAAAAACATGAGACAAACTCCATATATTGTGATAACTATTGGGAATGTTGGGAACTTTTATCTTAAGATATTGTATCGTATTATTTTTTCAACTAGCATTTAATGTATCGATGTACATATATAAACACATACGTACACAGAGAGAGATTGGCTTAATCAAGTGACCTATTAAGCACTTTCAACAGGATGGAGTTATTGAGATATACACACAACCACATTATATGATTACACACACATATACGTACATACATATATATATATATATATATAGGAGTGATCATATGAAAACCGCCTTCATTTGTGTAAACCGTGCAAACCACCTTCATCTATCGATTTCATTGTTTAATCTTATGAAATTTTTTCATTAAATTGTTTAATCTTGTGAAATTGTTTCATATAATAATTTTTTTGATGAAGTTGTTTCATATATGGTTGTGAAATTATTTCATATAATACTTAATGAAACTATTTCATGTATTTCTCTAACATTAATGAACTGTTTCATAAAATAACGAAGATGATAATATCTATGATTAACAACCTCCACAATAAAAATATTAATCAACCTCTCATAATTATAAAAAAATAACAAAATGAAAAATTATGATCGGTTGAATGCGGTTTGCACAAATTGAGTGGTATGCATTTGATCGCTCCCCTGTATGCATGTATGTATGTATGTATGTATGTATATATATATATATATATATAGAGAGAGAGAGAGAGAGAGAGAGAGAGAGGGAGGGAGTGGCTTACTTTTAGAGCCGGATTTGGATAGCTTGCCGTCGATAACTAGGGCGCCGGAACCACTAGTTCCGGTAGAAAGTCCTCGTGATGAGAAAAACGAGATTAGAGACTTCCAGGTGACGGACGATGCAATAAGATCGACTCCCCTACTTATGAAGTGACCGTTTAACTTCAACGTCGCCGGTTCCAGGCCGAAGCTCCGGGCAATAGAGCCAAGGTCGAGCCTCTGGTTTTCATCGGCCACCAGCTGCACCGCCTTCGATAACGACGGGCAAAACAGCTTTACCGTTCTCTTGCTCTCCGACATTTCTTCTCTGTTTTGCAAGTTCTCAGGCCTTCTGGAAGTGTCTTTGCAATCAATCCGACCTAAATATGACAATTTAAACAGGCACCATAAGATGCATCTAGCTGTTTGTACGGTACAGGTTTATAATGCATGTCCGGTGCATAATATCATCACGGTACAGGTTTATAATGCATGTCCGGTGCATAATATCATCTCATTCTATTTCAAAGGACTCTTAGTTGCTGAATGCTTTGGTGTAAAATTAGTAAGTGATTATTTGATTGTTGTTGAATAGTTTGGTGCATAATAATTAAGAGATATATAGTGCAAAATGAAATTTAATCATTTGGTAATTATTTACAACGAAATTAGGACGTTGATTAGTTAATAGAGACACATGATACAAAATCATTCAGAGGGTTTTGGAATCATTAAGAGACAAACTTTTTTTAGCTAAACAATATTCATTTTCTAACGATTCAGATGTTGCCTCTTAATAAAACTATTAAGAGGTAAACAAACAACCCCTCAATGGGTTGAGTGGAAGGGTTTAGTTATTTATGTTTTAATTATTTATCTATTTATATCTATACTACCTTATAAACCATATTTTAAAAAAGTCTAAAAAATAAATTTTAAGTCTTAAAAACAGCATAATACACTACAGTTTTATACATTAGTCTTAAAATCTTTTAATCTACAATTAAAGTAACATACGCTACAAGTTACCAATGCCCGCTCACAAGAAATCGATTCCGGCTCCCAAGGACGTTGATTCCTTCTCCCAAGGCAATGATCCGACTCATTATATTCAATTTCAAACAACTGGAACCATCAATGGAGGTGATTCACGTTCTTGGGAACCATTAGTGCTTCCCTCCTCCTTCTGGCGTCCTTGCCGCCTCTCCTCCCGGTTGCATGGCCTCCTTTATGATAAAATGGTGAACCGAAGAGAAGGAAGAAAATGTACTCTGATTTTTCTTACTCTCTCCTCCATCTTCTATTCTTTTCGTGTTAAATGAAGGTAAGAATCAAAACCCTATAATCCAAAAAAAGTTGTCATCTTTTAGTCAAATGTAAAGCCCAAAGCAAAATTTTTTGATCTGAATGCAATTTTAGCTATAAATTTGTTGATTTCAACAGACTTAGAGATTAATATATATATATATATATATA